CCTAAAAGGGGAGGGACGTATGACTTAGTCAGGCAAAACCAGTCAAAATATTTAGTCTTTGCCAATATTCATTTTGTTTGTTATTCAGAAATGGCATCCTTTGCAAACAAACAAAAAAGAAAAGATATCTCAAGTAGGCAGTTTTCTCCATTACAAATACATTTCACAGTCTGTTATACCAATTTAATAAAGTGGATGAAACAGTTTTCTTTCAACTCACTGCTATCAAACACCTTGCGGCCACTAATAAATGTTTCCTTCAAGCTGTTTTCTTTATACTAGTAGAACTAATAATAAAACCAATAATAATAATACCAAAGGATCATGAAGGAGGTCTATTCCCATAATCATTTTGATTGCCATGATGATCTTTGCTTGTAATCCCATATAAGAAGCCAATTATACAATATGTGGATAGGGGATTCCTTTCACTACTCCTGCTACAACCGCCAACATGAACTATTCTTTTAATTTTATTGGGCGTAAATTACCATTGATATAACAGGTTATCCTCAGAGTGGGGTATGTTGCACAGGCAGCAGCAAATAAAATTCTCTCACTTTTCTATCAATATGTTTCAATTCTGACCAGGAGTCCCCATGCTTATTCAGTTCATGGTTCTCTGTTGAAGTACCTAACAAGGGTGCCAATTTGTGGGAGCGGGAGGGTGATAGTTTTTTGTGGTATGGACACTTGTCTGGTAGGGCATGGGCTGAGCATAAGTCATTTCACATATGCCAAAGAATACCCATCAGATGGTAACATCAGACAGTAACATCAGACGATTTTCTATTTTTTGTCAGTTTATCAAAAAAAAAAATAGCAATTTTTAATTTTTATTCCACATGAAAATATTTTTTACCTTTAAAAATATGATGAAAGTTTTCTAAGTTTCTTGTGAACAGTGAACATGACACTCTTGGTATTTTGGTGGGGAGCTGCATGTCCTATGGTCTCTGTCCCAACGGAGTTCTTCAAGAGAATGACATTCAAGTTAGCTTCAGAGAGAGATGCTCTCATTCACTCTTCTGTCTTGGAAGCAGGAAGCCATGTAGCTGTCAACTATAAGTAAGTCGGATGGGAAATGAGGAAAGAACACTTTAAAAACCCCAAACCTGCCAGATTATTTATCAAAGCAACATATTTCTTTCTTGGCACATTTTGGGGAAAATAAATAGAAATGCTTTGCAGCATATATCTGCTTTCACTGTCTAATATGATGCTTTCAAATGTTTCTAGCCTCCAGTATCTAGAAGCTTAAGTCTTCTGGATTTCCCAGCAAATGATGAAGACTTTAATTAGCATGTTGATAATGCTGCAAATATTATTAAAATTCTGCTGTTGTCTCATTTTAGATGGTGATAAACTTTTTTACTTTTACACAAATGTAATGCACTTCAGTAGTAGTATAAAAACAGCATCAAATATTCAAAGATTACTAAAAGGGAGATTTTTGTACCTCATTTAGGCATAATTTATTATGAAACTCTTCTTTTAGAACAGTATCATCCTATCACTGGATATTTTTTCTTGATGGATTTTTTACTTCAATAAATCAATGCTGATTTAAATATTGGCCGTTTTCCAAATTGCTTGAAGACTTGATGCCTAACAGCAAAGACAGTAATCTTTTTAAACTGTTCCTTAAGCAACCATTTGTCATCCCTGCATAGCAGTGTAGCTTGCATTCAAAGGGATTTTGTGTATAAACGAGGGGGAAATTCAGTGTTACTTGTCCTTATGTAATGAATTTAGCTCTTAATGATGAAGGGTATTCCAGTGGACAGTCTTTTGCACCTATCCAATATCCAGAAGCACTATCAGTGCTTTTTTGTAACTACTTCAGTGTTATTGATCAGTGACTCTCTGAATGAGGTAAACTGGTCACAGTAGAATAAGAGCTTTGTACAAAAATAATACCGTGCGCACCCTGGAAAAAGAAAACTCACATCAGATAATTATATTTCTATGCATCAAACATCATGAAGTGCTGTCACTCTAGCACTTCTGATGCGATTGTGACCTCGGGAACTCCTCCTTTAATAATCTGAATGATTTTCTCCTCTGTATATTGGCTCCACTAAATGGGGAGAATTATTAATAGCATCACGGGGCAGGTATTTGGGGTGTTGTACAGCAGCACTTTCTATGCAGAAGTAGGGAATTCAGTTAAACTGCAAACTTTAAAAATAGCTATTAAGGAAATTGTACTTTCAAATGTGTAAGGATTGTTCATTTTGGGGAGGTTTCAGAAAATAATTTAACTAAAACTGAGAACGACCAATTTAAAAAACATATATGCTTAAAAGAAGTTTTCCTAAAATAATGCATTTAATATAACCTGCCTTTCCCTTTCCTCCTTATTTAAGTTACTGTGAAACTGGTAATCATGCCTCTCCAGCAAAAGTATCAGACAGAAGCAGCTTTAATGACTGCATCCCAGTGTATGAGGGAAAGGAGAGACCGTGTTGCCTACTAGATTGTGCACTGCACTGCACTGGGACTTAGGAGTCTTGGGTTCTAATCCCAGCTCTGTCTCTGATCTTCTGTGTTACCTTGGGCAAGTCACTTTACCTCTCAATTTCTCCATCTCTTTGTAAAGTGCTTTGAGATCTGCTGCTGAAAAGCATTATATAAGATCTTAGTATTAATATACATCAATGTTACGTGTGGAATAATGCTGTGGTACTAGCAATGAGAACTAGTATCATGGAAGTGTGGGGTATGACATGCCTTCTCTTTCTCTCTTTTGAGAGCAGCGCTGAATCCTTGCATTGTGAGCTGCCATGTTTCTAGTCACACGCTTTTTTCTGATTCAAATTGTGTTAAAAATCGGAAAATGTAGCAGAGCATAATGTAAATTCAGAAATCTTTCCTGGAGTTGTTTACTTGAGACAAAAACTAGTATGACATTTATCATGCTAGCTGTCTTCAAAAGATCCAAGGAATTGCATTAAAAGATAACATCCCTGAGTCATAACAACTTCAAGTGTTGAAATATCACATAATTTCCACATTCTGGATCTGGGATCTGGTCAGTAAGAGAATTTTTCCTTTGGGATAGGCTTTGGTTGATATACCTTAAATAAAAAGTATTGGCAAAAACATTTTCTTCATGGGAGGTGAATTTCTACAAAACCAGTTTTTAAGTTGCTTTTTCATGTTTGCAGCAATTTGCCAGTAGGATATAAATGTCTGATTTCAGTGCAGTTCTGGCTGCTGCCTGAAGTAGTTTCCTGTTTGGCTTTTTTATGTTACGCTGGATGTGTGTTTTTAAAGTATTGAAAGGAAAGCAGGACATTTTATGACATTTCTAATCCCTTTTTCCATTATAGAGCTTATTATTTTCAAGGAAAAGAAGGATGGGGTAGAAGTGGCAGGTGAATGGAGGAGAGAGAAAATATACCTGCAGTACACAAAGCCTATGTGCCTATTTAGCAGTCAGTAACAAGCAAATTTAATTTCATCTGTGGTTAGATATCCTGTTCAGTTAAAAAGGCATAATAATACATATCATAGAGGACGAGAAGGTCAGGCCATACATTGTTATTTTGTTTTCATTCTTTCATTCACCTGAAAGGTTACATTAGCTATATAGCTTTGTTTTGCTTACCAGTTAAGACATTTTATTAGATATAACATTAGACAATTCATGGTTTTTCAATTTTGGAGAATCAATTTTTTAGCTAAAAAACTTGTTCTTAGCATGAATGGTTTATGTGCTGCAGGCTTGTTGATTCACATATTATCGTCTCCTAATATAAAGATTTTTTGAGCTTCAGGTACAGTAAATTTGCTTTGAAGCTATTTTAGTATCTGTTATTTTAAGTGAGAGAGAATTTTACTTGGAAAGTCATTACTATTTATTTATTTTGGTGTGATTAAAATATGCCAGTTCAGATCTCTGTGGGCACATAGAGACTTTATCAAGAAAAGTAATACACTAAACAATTTGGGCCAATGACCAAACTAAAGTTATTGGGTTTGATAGAGGAACTATGGGGTAAAATGCCATGGTCTTTGTTATACAGGAGGTCAGACTAGATGACGATAACACTCCCTTGGGCCTTAAATTTTAAGGCCCATGTCTACACAGCACAAGCTGTACATGGGCTAGTCTACCTGAATTAATTTGAATTCAGCTAATGCAGGTAACAGTAGCAGTGAAGACAGCACAGCATGAGCTTTAGTGTGGGCTTAGTGACCTGAGAACATAGTGTCCATGCTGGGCTTGTACTACCTGGGCTGAAGCCCATGCTCTGCTGTCTTCACTCCTATTGTTGCCCATGCTAGCTGGATTCAAACTAGCTCAGGTAGGCTAGCCTGTGCACAACTTCTGTTGTGTAGACATACTCTAAGAATCTAGAAACTGCTCTCCACTCTTTTCAAAACAAGCATTTTCACACGTCTCACTCAATAATCCTTCCCAATTGTGTAAAAGCTTGGGAGTATAGGTAGATCTTGCAGCAAGAAAAAAGCGATATGGTCTTTTTCTGCCTTCCCTAAGGATCTGATATTTGTGTTGAAAAGGAGTGGTGATATTACAGAATGCTGTAATTACTCCCCTCCACCCCTGCTAAAAACCCTTGGGACAGATGAGCAACTGCTCAAAACTACTCGTTGCGTCCCCTCAGAGAGAGAAAATAATGGAACCATTCAAGGGTAATCCAGTCTGTCTGTTGGGTTCAACAGGACCCTCGTGTTTAATAATAACAAAGGTAGATGATGGACCTAAAAGAAACAGCATAGATGCTTGCTTTTTGTCTGTTATTAGTAGGAGTTCATCAACCAATGAAATTTCCATACTATGTATATGCTAAATGGACTGTCCTCATAGAACCATGAGGAATCCAGGCATGGCTGTAGTTGTTCAGGTAATATTTTCTGTACGACCATTCCTCCCAAAAAAGGAGTTTCATATTCAAGGGTTTTTCTACTACAAACTACAGCAAATCATTTAGTTTGTCACATGCAGTATATATTTCTGGTTTCTCCCCCAGTGCACCTGCAGGAAAGACATGGTAACAATATCAATGGATATCTTTGTGAGGAAGTTTCAACCAGACAGATATCAACTGTGGAAACAAGGAAAGGATTTATATACCATTGATCACACGAAGCCCACGCCTGAAACAACACCTGAGGTAAAGGCCTGGTTGCAGAGAAGAAGGAAAACAAAGAAACCTCCCAAATGGTAATTAGAGTTGTTCACCTTCCATTTAATTAAAGTTAAATATGTTGTATATTTCCATTTTTTTTCAATGCCCTTTTCTCTGACATTCCATTAGAGTTGTTCATTTATTCTAGTCACAGCTAATTTAGCTCTTCTTATAATTTAACCATGAGCTTGAGGCCAAGAAAGTCATAATTCATAGTGATTGTTTAAATGAAAAATACATTCATTTTGCAACATGTAAGGAAAATGCATAGCTGAAGTTTATGCGCATGGAGAGGTGGCCATTGCTTCTAATGCAATATTTAAATCTTTTCCTTTGGTGAGGGTGTGTTCACTAGTACTTGCACTGTGTGTAACAACATCTCCAGCCAGGAGATCAGGAAAACATCTGTAGGGAGTGGGCTAAATGCTATTCATTAGTTAGAAAAGAGGGGTATAAAACAGGTGCAGAATTGTAGCAGCTGTGCACAACCTCTAGCAATAGACTTAGCATTCACTAGCTTGTAGCCCAGGAGCTCTATAGAGAGATACCTATTTGGCAGACTCTCACAGTACCACTGCCAATACCTGCTATGTCTGCTATGGATTAACAACTGGTTGGAGTTTGGCATAATGAAATCCTTAACCCAATTGTCAATGCAGATTTTACTGACATACCTGAAAAGTTAACTTTTTAGGTTATCATTGACACTATCAAAGTTTTGACTTTTGATACTTTTACAGCTCGATCCATGTCGTCATATAGATAGTGTATTTTTGGGAAAAGTTTTCTTTACATGCAGCATTTCTCTTTTGTTTGCACTTAACAGAATTCCAACGGATTTTCCTATTCATTAGTGCTTTGAGATTTAACTGCTAAAAATTGACATGAGCTTTGCTTGTGTCTTGTCACAGCAGGGCACAATTGGATCAAGTTAAGGATAATACTTAGTCCTTTAATAGCCCTTTTAATCTTCAGATCATTTTGCAAACATTAAATAATTAAGGATGATGCCCCATTGTGACTGCATATTGGCAAGTGAACACTAAACTGTGAATTTCCTTCTTTAATTTTTAAATGAATTTACTTCTCTTAAAGGTGATGTGATAGCACTGGAGACAAACATTCTCCGCTTATCCACTGGATGAGTAAAACACAGGCAATGGCATTGTGTGGTGAGGTCACCCCAGTTTGTTGTGTTGCCCCCACCCAAGGCTTAAATGTTCAAACTAATACCACCTTACTCAGTCCAGGGTCCAAACAGCCACCAGAGTCTTAATTCCCAAGCAGGTTCCTTTCTGGCCCTTGTAGTGGCTGCTGGTGCTTGGGCACAGTGCAAGCTTGGAGCGATGAATCCCAGTCTCTGCTGCCTTGCTGGTGTCCATGTCCGGAGTCACCATGATAGTCAAGGCTTCTTTGCTGGGTCTAGGCTGCTCCTTCAGCCTGGCTGTAACCTGCTCCCTGGACCTCTTCTCTAGCCCCAGATTCTGGAGTGGCATTCCTCTCCTCCAATGACAGGTGGGATGGCAGAAGGAAGCCAGTTATGAAATTTCCTCCCAGTCCTCTATCCAGTCAGGGTTCTGGGGCCAGCTCCCCTCTCTCTGCTTGCCTCTTACTGAATGGGGGTTCATGGGGGTAGGGGCTTCAGTTCTCATGGAGAATGGAGTTACTCTCCACACGAGTTTCCCCATATTGCTCCACAAATGTGCCTCAATCCTGAAGTAAAGGTTCACATCTAGGGGTGAGATGTTCATTTTCCATGTTGACTCAACCCTTAGTCTATTTCCTGAGACTCCCAATAAAGATGCCACTTAATGTCTACTGTGTGAAGACTTGCCCCTGACCTTCCTTGGTCCTACCCAAAGGGCTGAGGGATACACACATGAAAAGTCTGCTTGGAGTATGTGTGCATCTGTGTGTGAGAGAAGACTTAGTGGAACATTTTCAAACCTTTAATATAGTTTGGTTTGTGGGATATTCAGGAGTGTGTGAATGTGTTGTTAGCTTATCCAAGCTGGTTTGCCAGCCTATAGTCTTCTATGAAAGTCCTTTTAAAAATCAACCATACAAAAACCCAGCAATTCAAAGTTAAGTTTGATATTTTTCCCTTAACAGAAATTAAATTGGGCCCAGATTCAGCAAATTACTACATGCTTTAGTACATCCTTACTCATCAAAGCACCTAACCATGTGTTTAATCTGTTTTGCTGAATTCAGTCCTTAGTTTGGAGATTTTGGTCTAATTCTTCTTCTTCGAGTGCTTGCTCATGTCCATTCAACTTAGATGTGTTTGCTCGCCACATGCACTGGTGCCGGAAGTTTTTTCCCTCAGCAGTATCCATAGGGGACCGGCTCCAGCGCCCCCTGGAGTGGCACGCACATGCCGCAGTATATAGGGCGCTGCCGGTTCCTCCCACCCCCAGTTCCTTCTACCACCAGTGATGGTGCTGAAACTGTTGCTGCTTCAGCTAGTGCTGTTGCTGCTTGTTCGTACGAACTAGTTATCTCCTGTATTATACTGTATATAGTTTTCTGTTAGTGTTTATAAATCTCTTAGCTATAATTAGAGGGTCCCGCTCCTCATCCCGGTACCGCTCGTCAACCGGGAGACGTACATCGCCGGCTCCAAGCCGTCACAGATCTGTCAAGCGCCTCCGGCCCCTAAAACCCAGCTCCAGATCGGACTTCAGGCGGAATGACTGGCACCGGTCGGGACACAGCCACCGTTCTGCTCTGTCCTGGTCACCTGGGAGCGACCGTTTAGGATCCAGCCCTGGTTCAGAGCAAAGTTCCCTGATGGCAGGACAAGCTCTGGTACTGGCTACATTGTTGGCACCGAAACCGGCTCCATGGTCTCCACTGGCACCGTGGTACCCATGGAACCCATGGTGGTTCACCCAGCCCTCCCAGGCCACCTGCTCGGTGTCCGGAGCTTCGGAGAGACCAGCTGCCTCTCTCTCCCGCCCTCCGGTGCACGAAGCCTTGGGCGTGAGGACCCTGCAGGTCCAAGAGGGAGCAGGGGAACAAGCCACTGGGCCACCAATGGTTGTGGAGGACCCTACAGCACCGGCTTCCTCATCGTCATCACCAGACGAGGCTATAATGGGGCCCCCTCCCCTGGTTCCTCCGGATGACACTAAAGTGCACCAGGAACTACTGAAGAGGGTCGCTGCCAACCTGGGTCTTCAAGCGGAGGAGCTAGAGGAGCCTTTGGACTCTCTCTTCAATGTCCTCTGCTCCACAGCACTGGCCAGGGTGGCTCTCTAAGATCACTAATGCCCTGTGGCAAACTCCCACCTCCCTGCCCCCCATCTCCAAGAGGGCTGAGCGCAAGTACTTTGTGCCATCCAAAGGCCTCGAGTACCTGTATACCCACCCTGCTCCCAACTCCCTAGTGGTAGAAGCGGTTAACCACAGGAAGCAACAAGGTCAACCCAGGGCTACCCCTAAGAACAAAGAGACTAGACTTGTTTGGGTGTAAGGTTTATTTGTCCTCTAGTCTCCAGTTGAGGGTGGCCAACCATCAAGCCCTCCTGGGACGCTATGATTTTAACATGTGGCAAGCCATGGCCAAGTTCAAAGGCTCTATTCCTGAGGCTTCTAGGAAGGAGTTCTGGGCTATTGTGGAGGAGGACACTAATGCAGCCAGGGCGATGCTCCAAGCGGCATTGGATGCGGCGGACACCGCCGCCCGAACCATGTCCTCGGCCATCACCATGCGCCAGGCATCCTGGCTGCTCCTTTCTGGCTTGTCTACGGAGGCTCAGCAGTCGATGCAAGACCTTCCCTTCGATGGGCAAGCCCTGTTTGCGGAACAGATGGACAATAAGCTCCATGGCCTAAAGGACTCCCGCACGACCCTTAAAACACTGGGCCTGTATGCTTCTGGCCCTGCCCACAAGCGGTTTAAGCCACAGCAGCCTCAGGGCCACGGGAGCCACCTTCGCTAGGAACCTTCCCATAAGAAATCCAGAGGCTACAAGAGGCGTCCTAGCCATCAACCTTCACAGGCCTCTCAGACGAGGTTGACCTGCAATAAGCAGGCAGGCAAGCGCTCATTTTGAGGGTACGCCCAAGAACGACCCTGTCAGACTGCTCCCAGGATCCTCCCTCCCCTATTTTTGCCAACGGCCTTTCTCCTTTCCTCCCTGCGTGGGCATCTATAACATCAGACCAATGAGTCCTCAGTATGGTGGCACGGGGTTACACCCTTCAGTTACTTTCTACCCCTCCTACCCACCCTCCCTGTCCCTCGCAAGAGTCTCCTCGCGCAGGAGGTAGAGGGGTTACTGTAGCTAGGTGCGGTGGAGGTCGTTCCTCCAGAGTACAGGAACAAGGGGTTCTATTCCTCCTACTTTTTACTCCCAAAGGCCAAGGGCAGTTTGCAACCTTTCCTGGACCTGCGAGACTTGAACCGCTTCCTAGCGAAGCTGAAGTTCCACATGGTCTCCCTGGCCTCCATTATCCCCTCCCTGGATCCGGTAGACTGGTACACCGCCCTCAATCTGAAAGATGCGCACTTTCACATTACCATCTTCGAGGGACACAGACGCTTCCTCCGGTTTACGGTCCCAACCACTATCAGTTTGCGGTCCTCCCGTTTGGCCTAGTGACAGCACCGCAACAGACTTCAGCGTATCAAGATCTACCTATCTATCTATCGACGACTGGCAAGTCAAGGGCAGCTCCAGGTCCAAAGGCATGTTGCGATGCTGTTGCCTCGGCCTGTTGGTAAATGACAAAAAATCCACGTTAGTTCCGGTACACAGGATAGAGTTCATTGGAGCAGTGCTCAACTCGACCTGCACCAGGGTGTTCCTGCCACTGGGGAGATTCAGTCTCCGCGTTTCCCCTGACCACGGACAGGGGTTGCCTGCGCCTACTAGGTCACATGGCAGCATGTACATATGTGGTGTGCCATGCCAGGCTCCGGATGCAACCCCTGTAGAAAAGGAGGTGCCACAGGTTTTGCTCCAGAAGGGTCTGGGCAAGGGCTTCCTCTCCAACACCTTCATCCTGCCATGGGCAGGAAGCCTGATATACGCCTTCCCTCCAATTCCGTTCATCAGCAAAGTCCTAGCAAAAATCAAGAGAGACAAGGCTCAGGTTATCATGATCGCCCCGGTGTGGCCTCGCCAACACTGGTTTGGGATGCTATCAAGCCTGTCAGCAATCCCTCTGTGGCCCCTGCCGAACCGACCAGACCTGCTGTCACAGGATCACAGTCGACTCTTGCACCACAAACTTGTGTCCCTCCACCTCACGGCGTGGATATTGAACTCTGAGGAATGGGCCTGTTCAGAAGGGGTCCAGAAGGTCCTCCTCGAGAGTAGAAAGCCCTCGACTAGACAGACTTACCTGGCAAAGTGGACGAGGTTCTCCCACTGGGTGGCCGAACTGGGCATCTCCTCTTCGCATTCCTCGGTGCAGTCGATCTTAGACTACCTGCTTCATTTGAGGAGCCACGGTCTGGCACACTCATCTATCAGGGTGCCTCTGGCGGCCATTTCCGCCTTTCATCCACTCATCCAGGGGAAGACGGTGTTCTCCCATGACATGACAGTCAGGTTCCTCAGAGGTTTCGAGAGACTTTTTCCTCAAGTTTGGTCCACAGTCCCTCAGTGGGATCTCAACTTGGTTCTGCCAAGGCTCATGGGCCCGTCCTTTGAGCCTGTGGCCTCGTGCTCCCTGTCTCAGTCACAGTGGAAGGTAGCTTTCCTGGTGGTGGTGATGTCAATGAGGTGAGTCTCTGAGCTGCAAGCCCTGACCTCAGAACCGCTGTACACGGTCTTCTATAAGGACAAGGTCCAGCTACGGCCCCACCTGGCCTTCCTTCCCAAGGTGGGGTCTACTTTCCACATGAGCCAGGACATCTTCCTTCCGGTCTTCTGCCCTAAGCCCCATGAGACTAGTGAAGAGAGGTGCCTTCACGCTTTGGATGCAAGTAGGGCCCTAGCTTTCTACCTAGATTGAACAAAGCCTTTCCATAAGTCGACTCAGCTTTTCATCTCTACAGCTGATAGGATGAAGGGCCTCCCGGTGTCCACGCAGAGGATTTCTAATTGGATCACCTCTTGCATTTGGACCTGCTATGAATTGGTGGGAGTCCCTCCCACCACCGATTGTCAGAGCCTACTCGACCAGAGTGCAGGCATCTTCGGTGGCCTTCCTGGCACACTTCCTGATCCAGGACATCTGTGGAGCTGCGAAGTGGTCCTCGGTGCACACATTCACAATCCACTATGCCATCACTCAGCAGGCCAGGGATGATGCTGGGTTCAGCAGAGCGGTGTTGCAATCTGAATGTCCGTGAATTCCTACCCACCTCCGAGGGGTATTGCTTGGGAGTCACCTAAGTTTCAAGGACACGAGCAAGCACTTGAAGAAGAAAAGACCGTTACCTTTTCCTTAACTGGTGTTCTTCGAAATGTGTTGCCCGTGTCCATTCCACAGCCCTCCCTTCTTCTCCACTGTCGAAGTTTCTGGCAAGAAGGAACTGAGGGTGGGAGGAACTTGCGGCGCCCTATATACCGCGGCATGTGCACGCCACTCCAGGGGGTGCTGGAGCCGGTCCCTACGGATACTGCTGAGGGAAAAACTTCCGGCACCCGTGCATTTGGCGAACACACACACACACACACACACACACACACACACACACACACACACA